TGGCCAAGAACTGCTGCCTTGGATCATCAAAAAACTGAGATCTACTCAGAGTGAGGCTGGAAACAGAGCCTCCAGCTCTGGTCAAGGCTTGGGATGACCATAGCCCTGGTGGCACGTCGACCTTAGGACTGTGCCAAGAGCACCCAGCTAAGTCACTCCCAGTTTCCTGACCTGCAGAAACTATGAGATGGTAATGGTTGTTGGTTGTTTGAAGCTCAGATATATGTGGTAAGCTTATAACGCTTGCAGAATTTTGTTACAAGTTTGAGAAGGGAACTAATCTAAAGGTTAAAAAAAAAAAAGACAGGGGTCGGGGGGAGGACAACTCTTGAAAACGTTTTTATTTATTTATTTTTATTTTTTGAGTTGGGGTCTCACTCAGTCACCTAGGCTGGAGGGCAGCGGCAAGATCACGGCTCGCCTCTGCCTCGACCTCTTGGGCTGAGGCGATCCTCCCATTTCAGCCTCCTGAGTAGCTGGGACTACTACAGGCACATGCCATCACACCTGGCTGATATTTTTGATTTTTTGTAAAAATGAGGTCTTGCTATATTGCCCAGACTAGTCTTGAACTCCTGGGCTCAAGCAATTCTCTCACCTCGGCCTCCCAAAACTGCTAGGATTACAGGCATGAGCCACTGTGTCCAGCCAAGAAGAGACTTGTTTTTTTTTTTGAGTTGGAGTCTCACTCTGTCGCCCAGACTGGAGTGCAGTGGCCGCTCCCGGCCACGGCAGCCTCGACCTGCTAGGCTCTGGCGATCCTTCCGCCTCAGCCTTCCAAGTACCTGGAACTATAGGCGCGCGCTACCACGCCCAGCTGATTTTTTGATTTATTGTATAGATGAGGTCTCCCTGCCCAGGCGGGTCTCGAACCCGTGGGCTCAGGCAATCCACTCACCTCAGCCTCCCAAAGGCGCGGGATTACAGGCTGAGCCACCGAGCCCGGCTCTGAAAACACATTTCAATGCCAACTTGCTCCCAACTTTGCATGAGTAGGTCACAGTGTCCCCACCTCCTTCCCAGGAATAATTCTGTCTTGACCTTAGTGCAGGAGTCATTTTAGCAGAGAGTTCCTCAGTAACCTCCAGACTAAAGCACTCCCTCATCTGTCTCTACCACCTCCCCCTCCTCTACCATTATGCCTTTGAAGTTCTCCTCACTGTTGTAATTATTTGGTTCATTTACTTGTTGACTGTTATTTCCTCATTGGACTGGGAAGGGTTGTATTGTATTGTTAAATTATTTTTGAAAGTTAGCATCTGTAAAACTAACTTTTTTTGTAAGCACATACAGTTCTTATAATTTTATCCCCTGTAGACATTTATGGAATATGGGCAAAAACACTTAAAAATTTTTGGCCATAGCCAGGTGCAGTGGCTCACGTCTATAATTCCAGCACCTTGGGAGGCTGAGATGGGAAGATTGACTGAGCCCAAGAGTTTGATATCAGCTGGGAAACATAATGAGACCTTGTCTCTGCAAAAAATAAAATTAGCCAGGTATGTACCCGTGGTCCTAGCTAAGGTGGGAGTATAGCTTGAGCCCAAGAGTTTGATATCAGCTGGGCAACATAGTGAGCCTCGTCTCTGCAAAAAAATAAAATTAGCCAGGTATGTATCTGTGGTCCTAGCTAAGGTGGGAGGATCGCTTGAGCCCAGGAGTTTGAGATCAGCCTGAGCAATGTAGCGAGACCCCGTCTCTACAAAAATAAAAATAAAAACATTAATTGGGCATGGTGGTATGCTCCTGTAGTCCCAGCTACTCAGAAGGCTGAGGCGGGATTGCTTGAGCTCAGGAGTTCAAAGCTGCAGCGAGCTATGATCACACCACTGCACTCCAGCCTGGGCGACAGAATGAGACCCCCATCTCGGAAAACAAACTCGAGCACAAACAAGCAAAACGACCTCTTCAAAGTTGTTCCTCTCCAATGAGGATGTGAAATGGTTCCATCATTCCCCAAACCCCCCTGTGCTGCTCCCCTGTCGTCACAGGGAAGGAGTTTTTGTCTCTTTTGCTTACCACATACCCCAAGTGTCTAGCATAATAACTGGCATTGAGTAGGAACTCGGTACATATTTGTTGAAGAAAGGAAGAAAACATGTCAATGCCAACGAATAATGAAGCTTGTATTGCAAGGGTTGCCACAACATGTCTCTGCTGGAGCGGTGGCCTTTATTTCACACACAGCAAGGTAGAGATCCTTTTGTTTGACTGACAGAATCTTTTTTTTTTCCTGATCGGAGTCTCCCTCCGTCGCCCAGACCTGAGTGCAGTGTCGCACTCACGGCACCCCAGTGCGACCTGCTAGGCTCCAGCGATCCTTTTGCCTCAGCCTTCCAAGTAGCCGGAACTACAGGTATGTGCTACCACGCCTGGTTCATTTGCTGATTTATTGTAGAGACGAGGTCTTACCAAGTTGCCCGGGCTGGTCTTGAACCCCTGGGCTCAGGTAATCCTCTCTCCATGGCCTCCCAAAGTTCTAGGATTTTAGGCTGAGCTACCGAACCTGGATTACAGGCTTGAGCCACGGTGCTCAGCTGTAGTTTAACCTTTTTTTTTTTTTTGAGTTGGAGTCTCACTCTGTGGCCCAGACTGGAGTGCAGTGGCAAGCTCCCGGCCACCGCAGCCTTGACCTGCTGGGCTCCGGCGATCCTTCTGCCTCAACCTTCCAAGTAGCTGGAACTACAGGCGCGCGCTACCACGCCCAGCTAATTTTTGATTTATTGTAGCAATGAGGTCTCGCCAAGTTGCCCAGGCGGGTCTCGAACCCGCGGGCTTAGGCAATCCACTCGCCTCAGCCTCCCCAAGCGAGGGATTACAGGCTGAGCCACCGAGCCTGGCTTACTATTATTTTTTAATTTAATTTTTTGAGCGAGAACGTCTTGCTATGTTGCCCAGGCTGAAGTTCTGTGGCTATTCACAGGTGTGATTATAGCACACTGCAGCCTCGAATTCCTGGGCTCAAGTGATCCTTCCACTTTCCAGTACTCTTTTTTTTTTTTTTTTTGAGTCGGAGTCTCACTCTGTTGCCCAGGCTGGAGGACAGTGGCACACTCACGGCAACTGTGGCCTCAACCTGCGATCCTTCCACCTCAGCCCTCCAAGTAGCTGGAACTACAGGTGTGGGCTACCATGCCTGGCTAATTTTTTGATTTATTGTAGAGACGAAGTCTCGCCAAGTTGCCTGGGCTGGTCTCAAACCCATGGGCTCAGGCAATCCACTCGCCTTGGCTTCCCAAAATGCTGGATGACAGGCTGAGCTACTGAACCTGGCTGAGAAAGTAGGATTTATTAAGAAAACAGAAAAGCTGCCACAGCAGGAGGGACCCTGAAAGAGGTTGCCCCTATTTTCTTACATATAGAAATCGACAGTAGGGCCAAGTCAAGAGGTCTGTTTCATCACCTGAGAAATTCAAATTGAATCCTCTTGGAAGAAAAATAACAAAAACAAATGGATGTATGATTATTCAAAGCCACGCTGCTTAAGATAATGTCAGCTTCTTAGCACCATTTGAAAATTTCTGGCTTTTTGAAAGTCACCGCTCATTCTATTTTAGTTGTAAATCTCCAAATGAGTACGAGGATTAGTCCATGATAAACATAAATGTAATTTATTGCCTTTATAGGGACTTTAGATTGATGACCTGAGAATTCAAAGAAACACAATAAGGTCGGGCGTGGTGGCTCACACCTGGAATCCCAGCACTTTAAGAGGTGGAGGCCAAAGGACTGTGTGAGCCTGGGCGTTCAAGAACAGCCTGGGTGACTTGATGAGACTTAACGTTATAATTAAAAAAAAATTAACCGGGTGTGGTGGTGCATGCCTGTAGTTCCAGCTGCTTGGAAGGCCGAGGCAGAAGGATCGCCTGAGCCCAGCTGGTCGAGCCTGTGGTAGCTGTGATTGTGCCGTTGCATTCCAGCCGGCTGACAGAATGAGACTTGACTCAAAAACAAACAAACAAACAAACAAACAAACAAAAACAATGAAGAGCACAAATTGGCAATGAGTAGATGTCATGGCTGTCAAAACAGGGTTATTCCTTATATGCATTCCACAGGCATTTATGATAATTGAGACATGCCTCCATTTGCTTCTGGTTTAGAGACTTCTGACTCAATTGATGGGTATCTTCTCTTTGTCTAAAAAGATGTCTGCCAGTCAGATGGCAATTTGAATCTCTTTCTCCTCTTCCTCCTTGGGCCAACCATAGGCCAACACAGAGGGCACAAGAGTGGTGGGCTTTGCAATTTGTTCACCCTTTCTAACTTTCCCTGGAAGTGAAGTTAACTGCCTGGTTCTTAGGAGAAAGATCAAACTCTTAGGTTGGTTCTAAAACCCTTCTTGACCAAGTTCTTCACTTTCACCGGATTTTTTAATTTCTCAAATACATTCTTCTCTCTCTCTTCTCTTAATTTTCTTATGCTGTTTTCTTTGTCTAAGATGCTCTTTCTCTTTGCTTTCACATGGGCAATACCATGTTATGCTTTGGGTTTTGGGATCCCCTCTCCCAGGAAGCCTACCCTCATCCTCCTCTGCAGACTCCCCTGGGTGTCTCTGCCGCATCTTGTCTGTTCTTCATGGCTCATATTTTATTCGACTGCAATTTTGTGTCCAATATCTTCTCTCACCATCAACTATAAACTCCAAAATATAGGATTCTGTCTTTCCTACTTACCATTCTATGGCCAACATCTAACATCAAGCCTAGAATACCTACTCAGTAAATATGTAGTGAGTACTAAATGGATTCCAAACCAGGGAAAATCCAGTTTGGCAGGATTCGACTCCGCTTTCCAAAAAGACAGCATGAGACACACTCAGAAGGAATCTTCCTGGTGCTAGTATTTGGGGAGACAGTTACAAGGCTGCTTTGAGATTTCCCTGTCAACTTCTGCAAACTTCAGTGATTACTCTTCCAACTCATGCAATTCCAGATGTCAGTCCAAGACACGAGACGCTTAGATTCTGTTCCCTGGAAGTTTCCCCAGTGTCCCAGCGGTCAGGAAAATGAGGTGATCTTTCTGTTGACGAGCTTCCTGAGCGCCCCCTCCAGGTCTCTATTCCTCAGGCTATAGATGAAAGGGTTCAGCATGGGGGTGACCGCTGTATACATCACGGCAGAAGCTTTCTCCTTCATGGCCGTGTGAATGGAGGAGGGACACAGGTAGACCCCAATGGTGGTCCCATAGAAGAGGGCTACCACGGACAGGTGGGAGCCGCAGGTTGAAAAGGCTTTCTTCCTGCCGCCTGCGGAGGAGACCTTCACGACAGCCATAATGATGTGTGCGTAGGAAGCCAGGATGCAGATGCAGGGCATGGCTATCACCATCCCCGCCACCATGAGCACGAAGATCCTATTCGCAGATGTGTCAGTGCAAGAAAGTCGGAGGAGGGGCGTGAGGTCGCAGAAATAGTGAGGCAGCTCGTTGCTGCCACAGAAAACCAAGCGAGTCATCAGGAGGATGTGGGTGAGGGAGATGAAACAGGAACACACCCACAGACCACCGGCCAGCAGGCCACAGAGGCGTGGGCTCATGATGGTGGCATAATGCAACGGGTGACAGATGGCCACAAACCTGTCGTAAGCCATCACCGCGATTAAGACGCTGTCCATGATGCCGAAGAAGTGGAAAAAGTACATCTGGACCAGGCAGCAAGGATAAGAGATGGATTTGGTTCTGGTTTGAATGTTTACCAGCATCTTGGGGACGGTGTTGGTAGCCAGGCAGAAATCCACCAAGGAGAGGTTGGCCAAGAAGAAGTACATAGGGGTATGGAGGTGGGAGTCTGCACCGATGGCCAGGATGATCAACATGTTCCCCACGACCGTGATCATATACATGCAGAGGAACAGAGAAAAGAGAAGCGTCTCCTGCTCTGGCCTTTCGGAGAGACCCAAGAGGATGAACTCAGATGTGCTGGTTTGGTTCCTTGGCTCCATGAGCAGGGTTCCTCTGGGAGTATTGAGAGGGGAAGTCGCAGGATCGCTGGGGAGATGATTTTAGAAGATTAAACGAGAGCACACTCTAGTTCTCACTTGAGCTAACTGGGGCACCAGCTTATATATGCAGGGGGACCCAAAAACCCCAGAATTAATTTTGGAGGGTGGGCCCCATGTAATTGAGATTCTTTCAACATGTTTGCCCATTTCATGATGGGTGACTTATGAGTGCACCTGCCCACACCTCACTGAGTGTTCAGGAGTTCTGGACCCGAAAGGGCATAACTCCCATGCCCCACCCTCCCTATTCACCCAATCTTGCCCCAAGCGATTTTTGTTGTTGTTGTTGTTTCCCCAGATGAAAAAAGTCCTCAAAGGGAAACGTATTGCCAATGTGGAAGAGATGAAACAAAAAATGGCACTAAAGGGTATCAAAATGGAAGAGTTCAAAAACTGTTTTGAGGAGTAAACAAAGCATCTTTTTTAAAAATTTTAATTTTTGATTCAGGGTCTTACTCTGTTGCCCAGGCTGGAGTGCAGGGGTACGCACACGGCCACTGCAGCCTCGAACTGCTGACTCAGGCGGTCATTCCACTTCAGCCTTCCAAGTAGCTGGAACTACAGTTGTGTGCCACCATGCCGGGCTCATTTTTTATTTTTATTTTTATTTTTTATTTTATTTTTTTTTGAGTTGGAGTCTCACTCTGTCACCCAGACTGGAGTGCAGTGGCCGCTCCCGGTCACCGCAGCCTCGACCTGCTGGGTTCCGGCGATCCTTCCGCCTCAGCCTTCCGAGTAGCTGGAACTACAGGTGCGCGCTACCACGCCCGGCTAATTTTTGATTTTATTGTAGAGATGAGGTCTCGCTGCCCAGGCGGGTCTCGATCCCGTGGGCTCAGGCAATCCACTCACCTCAGCCAAATATTTATCTTCAATTTTAATTTTTTTTTTGAGTTGGAGTCTCACTCCGTTGCCCAGTGTTGACCCGTTGGGCTCCGGCAATCCTCCCACCTCAGCCTTCCAAATAGCTGAAACTACAGGCATGAGCTACCATGCCCGGCTAATTTTTGATTTATTGTAGAGATGAGATCTCGCCAAGTTGCTTGGGCTGGTCTTGAACCCTCAGGCTCAGGCAATCCACTTGCCTCAGCCTCCCAAAGTGAGCCACCAGGTATGGTCAATTTTAATTTTTAAAAAATATTTTATTGTTGATATGTGGGCTACAGGTCAGGGTTAACTACACAAGCAGGCTGCATGCAGGTGAAGTTTGGACTTTCAACTAGCCCTCACTTTCCCTGGTTTTGGATGCTACTTGATGCTACATGCTATTTTGTATTTTTTCGATTCAAGGGGTTTATGTGCAGGTATGTTCCATAGGTATGTCACTACTCATCAGATAAATGCAAATAAAAACCACAGTAAGATGCCATCTTACACCAGTCAGAATGGATATTATTAAAAAGCTGGACATTGTACTTTTATATTCATTTCCACTCGCCTCTTCCAGCCATCCTAAATCAAACCTTTTGTTACTTTTTTTTTGAGTGGGAGTCTCACTCTGTTGCTCAGGCTAGAGTGCAGTGGCACCATCATGGCTCACCACAACCTCAACCTCCTGGGCTCAGGCAATTCTTCCACCTCAGCCTCCTGAGTCACTAGGACTACAGGTATGCACCACCGTGCCCAGCTAATTTATTTTTATGTTTTGTAGGCATACGGTCTTGTTATGTTGCCCAGGCTTGTCTTGAACTCCTGGGCTTCAGTGATCCTCCCACCTCCGCCTCCCAAAGTGCTGAGATTATAGGCTCGGGCTACTGCACCCAGCTTTGTTACTTCTGAGTTGTAAAGTCCATTCATTTCTAACTAACTCTTACTGCATTCATTTTCTCCCTTTCAAACCATCCTAAAACACTAGATTAATCCTCCTGGACTACAGCTGTGACCATATCACATTTTGTCACTTATTCATTTATTTACTCACTTGCTCCATTAGCAATGAATGATTACTGTTATATACAGTATCAGGATCTGAGCTGAGTGGTGGGAACAAACATATGAAAATACACAGATCCTCTTTTTCAAGACAATTGGAATTTGGAATGACCTGTCTTTACTCATTTATGTGGCCAGCATCTTCTCTGGAATATAGAAGATATAAATATAACTATTCAATACTTGCAAGCATGAAAATGATGTTTCCATAGTGCCAGGCATTTTTTATTTTTTTTTTGAGTTGGAGTCTCACTCCATCATCCAGGCTGGAGTGCAGTGGCATGCTCACAGCCACCCCAGCGTCTACCTGCTGGGCTCTGGCAATCCTTCCGTCTCAGTCTTCCAAGTAGCCGCAACTGCAGGCGCAGGCTACCACACCCGGCTAATTTTTGATTTATCATCTCACCAAGTTGCCTGGGCAGGTCTTGAATCCACGGGCTCAGGCAAATCCACTTGCCTCGGCCTCCCAAAGTGCTGGGATTGCAGACTGAGCCATCGAGCCCAGCCAGTGCCAGGCACTTTTAACAGTTTTCTGTTACTATGCTACTCACCACAACGCAAGGAGGATACTGCTGTTTTATATAAGAAGAAATGGAGGCACAGGGAAATTCATAAAATCAAGTGGGGTTTGAGAGAGTGGGTGGCAGAGTTAACCCAAGCAATCTGAATCTCAAGCACATTCTCTTAACCTGTACATTTCATGAATCGTGAGTGAACTAATGAATTCATGATTCAATGAGAGACATACACTCTCAGAAACATTTTTCAAATTAAGAGGGTAAGATGATCCCAGCACTTTGGGAGGCCAAGGCGGAAGGATCCCTTGAGTGCAGGAGTTTGAGATCAGTCTGGGCAACACAGTGAGACCTTGTCTCCACAAAAAAATTTAAAAATTAGCCAGGTGTAGTGGCATGCGCCTATAGTCCCAGCTACTTGGGAGGCTGACACAGGAGGATTGCTGGAGCCCAGGAATTGGAGGCTGTGGTGAGTCGTGATTACGCCACTGCATTCCAGTCTGGGCAATAGAGCAAGATCTTAACTCAGAGAAACAAAAAACAACAACAACAGCACAAACAGGGAAAATGGCCTTAAAGAAATACTCAGAAGCTGGGCTCAGTGGCTCAGCCTGTAATCTCAGCGTTTTGGGAGGCTGAGGTGAGTGGATAGCCTGAGCCCACAGGTTCGAGACCCGCCTGGGCAACTTGGTGAGACCTCATCTCTACAATAAATCAAAAATGAGCCGGGCGTGGTAACGCGCGCCTGTAGTTCCAGCTACTTGGAAGGCTGAGGTGGAAGGATCGCTGGAGCCCAGCAGGTCGAGGCTGCAGTGACTGGGAGCGGCCATTGCACTCCAGTCTGGATGACAGAGTGAGACTCCAACTC